GTCTCGGTTTGCACTGAAATTGCTTTGCCTTTCTCTTTCAAAACCTTATGCAATTTTCTTTCAAATTTAACTGTCACAATTTTCATTGTGAAAAGGCTAAGGTATTATTGATAAATAATATACCGTGGGAAAAAGTAAGATAAAATTTATTTCTTTTTCGAACAGGTGCCTTTGCATATATGTTCTTGCGTTTTTCCTTTTTATTTTTTTTATTCATTTATTCTTGTTGATTTAATTCGAAGAAGATGTTCATCAATAGATTGAGGATGTCGGAACATAAATTATTCAAACTCTTTGGTCTACAGTCGACTCTCGCTCTGCAGACACCTCGCTATTACGGACACCACCCCATTAGGGGACAAAAGCCAGACCCCCGGCGAAACGCACAAAGAAATAGCTGAAATAACTCCCGTCTTTACGGACTCCCGCTATTACGAAAATCTCGCTTCGTCCAAACTCCAGACTCACATGATATGAAGCGACACCATGATAAAGGAAAATAAAGAACCCATTTTTCAATTGGGTGCGAACTTGAGAATTTCCTGCTTTCAGCCGGATCTTTATTTGGTCTGTGAAGCCACGTTAGAAACTTAATGTTGGGTTATTTCATATGTTTGGAGACAAACCAATATTTTTCTCTCGCGTACCCCGCCATTTCGGACCCTCGCTCAAGGACACTAAATCTCCCCCCCCCACCCACCCCCCCGAGGGTGTCCGCAATAACGTTAGTCGACGGTACTATTAAATCCATTAACCAGGCTTGCTTTTCACAATCAATTATCAGCATGAAAAGTCAACCATTCAAGCTGGATACAGCTTCAAGTGTACTGAAGGTTTTTCAAAAAGAAACTTTTACAGTGTAGTATGGTGTTAAACTCCTTTCAATACAAAGAAAGAAGACGGTAAAGAGTATTGAAAAACTTGTGCAGTTCATCCAAAACGTCTTTCCAGGTAACGTAATATTATTAATAGCTGGCATATCTTGCGTTGCTAAAATAATGAATTCACTTTCCTCTTGTAACTGCATTTTAACAGACAAATCAAACTTTCGAGACTTCGGTTGCTTCTCGCAACTTCGCTCCATATCATGATATGATAGACGACAACGAGGGGCTTTTCTTCAAAATAGATCTTGATTGTGTCATTCCTTAGTCTGTCCACCGCTGTATGTTTTGTTTCAGTCAACTAAGTGAGAAACCCAAAGTGAGCGCGCGATGGTCTGAAATAAAACAGAAGTCCGTGAACTTATTAGTCGGGCTTCTGATAATTAATACCATGAGAGTCGCACGAACATATGAAACATGTTTTTAAATCCAGGGATATGTCATACACCGCTTTCAATTCTATTTCTTTGTTATATCTAGTTAACTACGAAAGAAGCAAGTCAGTGAGTGAATTTTTACATTCTCGGTTGCGCTAAAGGCCATTCTTTGCAAGCGAAACTGCATGGGTTAAAAACCCTGAGGCTCTATTACCATCACAAGTATCGCTTGCATTACCACATTTTCATCTTTCTCTGAACCTCTATCAACACTAGTTGCACTCTTCGTGACGTTTTGTTTCAGACCATTTCTGCACTTGTGATAACATTTGATCTCAAGCGAACAGTTTTACTCGCAAGAAGAGTGGAACATCTTTAACTTCGAAAGGGAAACAACATGGCCTCCCCATAATCGTGGTCCAGATTATGCAGAAAATTTTATGAATGCGCATTAAATCATATTTTTTTTAAGCAATTTCTTCTTTTATGCGCAGCAACTTCATCACTGCAGCAAATGTTTACAATTGCGACAACTTTTATTTTCGCAGCAACTTTTATAATTTGCAAAAGGTTTTCGTTAATTTGTAGCGCCTAAAAAACTGCCACAAGTTTCAAGGTGCAACAAATTTCATTTGTTTGTGAACAAATAGCGGCAACTTTTAAGTTTGCGACATGTGCCCTGTGGCCCACTGTTATGCAAATTTTTTTCAGATAAGTACGCTTATTTTGAGGGTCTTTATGGGAGATAGCTTTGACGGTTGATGGTTAATTTTTTTCAGTCAATTTTTACGGTTGACAGATAATTTTTAACGTCTCTGACGGTTGACGGTTAAATTTCAGAGCCTTTGATGGTTGACAATTATAAGATATATTTTCCTGAATAAACAATATATATTGAATGTTAAGTTAGCATCTTGCGAACCTTGAGGATTTCCTTTCATTGAAATGTTGCGTAAGAATCTCGCACACTTTTGGGATTCTCATTCATTCGATTGGAATGTTAGTTTTCCCCTTACTTTTAGCATTTTTGACACGGGTTAACGATAAAAACGTCGTTGATCTCGAAGGAATCATTAATATCATTAAAACTCCCATTGAGGAGTTTAACGATAAAATCTATCGACACATTTCATGACACTCTAAATGAGCCCCTCCAAGGGATTTTAGGGAACAAGGGAACTGGAACATTTATTTTTTTGAACAGGGATATTTTCAAACTATTTTCAGGGAACAAGGGAACTCTTGAGTAAATTGTTGGGAACAAGGGAATACCGATCTACTTTCAATAATATATTTTTTTTTAACTTTCTGAGCCCCTAAAATATAAAATCTCTTTCGTTCTTGGGTGTCAGGCGAGATCATGCCAAAAACCAGTTACAAATAGTAACGCTCTTGATGAAAGGGAACCAGCAACTGGTTTTGCTGTTATTCCTTACATACAGGGTGTTATGGAACCCATCAAGAGAATTTTGAATATCCACAACGTTAAAGTTTCTCAAAAACCTTTTCAGACTTTGGGGCATATTTTCGCCAAACCTAAGGATCCTGTCACGAAAGAACAACGAACCGACGCCACTTAATCTATTCCTTGCAATGACTGTGACAATGAATACATCGGACAGACCAAACGTCAGTTTGGTACACGGTTAAAAGAGCACCAAAAAGCGGTTTTCCTTTGCAAAAAGGAAAATTCAGCTTTATCGGAGCATACATGCCTAACTAACCATAAAATTGGGTGGGACAATTCTAATTATCACCACTAATCGGCGTTACCACCAGCGCCTTTGTTTGGAGGCTTGGCATATTAACTCCGCCTACGCTCCTTTAAATCGTGACGATGGCGGTTTGCTTCCTGACGCCTATTTACACCTCGTCAGAAAAAAGGCCGCTAATTAGTGATCATATAAAAGGACCTCTTGTTGCAGCGTTTAGATCACCCCTGATGAAGGCACGAGACAGGAGTGTCGAAACGTTGGGTCTATGAATTGTAACTTCTTCGGTTATATTCATTAAATCTGCAAACCAGAGTAGCATCAAACTATGTCAGGCGAGATCATTTTCGAGATGACTATTGTTACGAGCTGTTTTCTCCTCTGACAAAAAGCGTGTTGATGCAGTCATGAGCCTTATTGGTACCACAACTGTGACACAAGGCCCTCAAGGAACTGTTTCCTCTATTGTCATGGAAGATGGAAGAAAGATCCTGAAGTGTCTACGTGACATCAAGGACCTGCTGGACCGTTTTGATCCAAGCCTTACCACCAAATTTAGTATCAAAAGTCTTCTAGTGAAGATACCTACAAGCAAACAAATATGGGGAACAATGATAAACATTTTTGGGGATCGAGGGAACAGCGCAAAAATTTTCGGAATCAAAGGAACAAGAGCTAAAAACATTTTTGGGAACAAGGGGTTTTATTAATGGGGAACAAGGGATAAAATCCAAAAAGATTAAGGGATCAAGAGAACATGTACCCCCCCTGGGAGGGGCTCCCGGCCGAAATGAGCGTGATCTCAGTTCTTGTTGAACGGCAGTAGTGGCGCGTAGTTCAGTGTACAAAGACAAGTATTACAAAGACAAGTATTGACTTATTAACTTATTTATTAAAATTTTTCAAACTGCCGGTTTTAAAGGAGAAAATCAGACGGTGAGAGTGAAACTGAGCGCCTTTGAAAATCTGAAGACTAGATTACCGTTCTAAAGATTCTTCCACATCTAAAACTGTTGCTAGCGTCCGGCTAAAATAGAGAGCTTCTTTGTGCCGTTTAAATATTGATATTCATTTGCATTTTGACGGTCGACAGTAAAAATCTATCCTTTTTGATGGCTGACAGTTAAATTTTAGGCACCATAACGGCTGATTGTTAAAATCCATTAAGACTCTTTCTCACTGCAGCAGCTGTTTACAATTAAAAAACTCTTATTCTAGCAGCAACTTTTTTAATTTGCCTAAAGGTTTTCCGACCCGACCCAAGCCTCGCTCATTTTTTCCCCAAGTGCTACAATCGCGCCGTTTATTATTTCGCTTTGTTTTACAAAATGAACACTTGAAACAGGTTAGAATCGTAAAAGTGCTCAAGATACTATCCTTACATTCATTATTCATTGTTTACTCATAAGCGTCAACCGTCGAAGGCCCTGACATTTAATCGTCAACCGTCAAAATCGGAAGACAAATTATTCGTCAAGCGTCAAAGCTAACCCGCATTAAGACCCTCTTTCGAGGAGGAGGATAGATCAGTCGTTTCCAACACGATGTAAAGGGGAAGAGGCTATAGAAAATTGACTACCAATTTAGGGGGGGGGATGCTAAGAACATTAGAGAGCCTTAGAGGGGATCAGGTAAATTCTCTCGTGACACAGCCAAAATCCTTCAACATCCCCCTCCCCCCCCAGCGATACATGATGATGGGCTCCTAAAACAGATAGGATTGTTTTCTTTACTCTACCGTTCTGTGAAAAGATGTAAAAGCCAAAAGTGTTCACCAATGAATCAAAAAACAGCTGGAAACAATTCACAATATTTTGCTGAGTGCGAAGAACGAGAACCACTTAATCGCTGCGTAACTGATTTTGAGGTTAAAGAAATATGCTTCACTTTGCACCGTTAATTCGTGGTTAAAATTATGTTTTTGGATTAATTTGTAACATTATTCTCAGCTTTGTTTCCGGTTTTAAACCACAGGAAAAAGACGCTTGAAACTTTCTATCACTCAGTAAGTGGCAATGAGTGGCATGATGGCGGTAAATAATTCTTCTATTGCAGGTACGTTTTCATGTCTTATTAGTCTGAAGATATTTGTTTTTGGTACGTTTTGGATGAACAAGAATTCGTAGTGTTACCATGGCTGCCTCTGTGTGAGTCGAAGTCAACATAAGTGAGGTGATTTTAGCGATACGTGGGCAACGCCATCTGGTACAAGCCGCGTGGTATTAGTAGGCCATTCAGATAAGCAGGCGTGAGTTATACGAAGGAAGTAAGGAATCACAAATACCTCTCTGCCCTCAAGCGCTGTTGTCAAGGAATCAAGGAACTCGATAACATCGAATGAGATGTTTTCTCCTACAATTAGGCAAAAGGAAGGGGGGGGGGACAAACTGGGGAGAAATCTATAAAAATTTTTGCTTTCCTCTTTTATTGAGCAACGTCGTTATTTAGGCTTGGTTAGGTTAAGTTAGCTTCTCACCACATTATCTGTCAGAAAAATAATAGAAATCTCAAATCAAAAACGATTTATTTCTCCTTTCTCTCCTCAGATGTGGCAAACTTGAATTCATCAGTTGTCAACAGTTACTTTCCTGTGAGCGCTACTGTATGGATAACTGTAGCATATGTGGTTATCTTCGTCTTCGGCTTCTTTGGTAACATCTGTATCATTTACATTGTGGTTTCTCGAAAACAGATGAGGACTAAATTCAATTTCTTAATTGTAAATATGGCAGTTGGAGATCTACTTGTTTCTCTCTTCATTATGCCGTTTCAGGTGAGTGACAATTTTCCAATTGTTATGGGTTAATTCATTGTTTAGTTTCGTTATGCGAAAAGCTCTCACTCACTCTTAGCAGTATAACGCATTTTTTATTTCCCACGCTATTAGGTCGTGTCGTCATTGAAAAACCTATCTTGAGTAGTACCTCCCTGTCTTTGTAGGTGAAATATCTTTACACTGGCCTGGCATGGATCCCAGGGGCGGTGGGAAAAGTCACGTGCAAGCTTTTTAGTTTCCTAGGGAACTTGTCATTCGCTGTCAGCATCGTAACACTTGTCTTCATGACAGTGGATCGTTACTTCGCCATTCTTCATCCACTTCGAGATATGCGTTTCATTCGAAACACAAAACTGGTCACCGCTGCGATATGGATCTCGTCTTCCCTGTTTTTCCTGCTGTATCTCTTGGTCTTTGACGTTGTAAAGAGTGCTGACGGCTTTCATTGGGAGTGCAGAACGGTTTGGAATTTCTTTTCCTCTAACATAAGTGTCCAGGTTTCTATCACCAGAGCCTATTTCATGACCATGTTCTTGATACTGTATTTGGTTCCTCTTGTTTTCATCGCATGGGTTCATGTTCTCATTGGTCGACATCTTTGTTCACGCCAGATCCCAGGGGAGCCGACAGCCCATCAGAGACATCAAAATGAACTGTCCAGGCGCAAGGTATTGCGCATGATGATCATCGTGGTGGTGACGTTTGCGCTGTGTTGGTTGCCAGCTCACATCCAGCATTTACTCATTTTCTATTTTACTAACACTTATGAGGCTTTGCTCAAAGTTGAACGCCTGAATTCCGTTTTATATTTTCTAGCACACGCCAATAGTGCCATAAACCCTTGTTTGCTTCTTGGTTTAAACCAAAGATTCAACTATGAATTCAGGGGAATTCTCAGATGTCTTTTTTGCCGAAATCTCGTTCCCACGAGAAGAAGCATTGGCACAGAACCACCCGTTGTTCTAACTCGCATACGAAAGACTGTACGTCAATGTAGTAACACTGTTATCCCTCTTCGTATTCAACAGCGTCCACGGTCTCAGAGCTGTACGTTTTGAATTTCTTTTTTCCATGAGTTAGACAACACGATAAAAACCTATCAACACCATTACGATTGATATTATAGAAATTTAACCATCGCTGATCTGTTCTCAATAATACTTGTTTTGTTCAACAACTGAAACAAAAAGCGTCATAAATGATAAGCCAAGCCAGGGAAAAAGTTGTATAGAAAACTTTCATAATACATGCGAAAAGCTCCATTTACTTGGTAGGACGTCCAAGGATCACGTTCGACCAGTGTGCTTTGCGCGCAGTTGTTCTTGTTATCATACGGGGACTCCTCGCTGTTTCTCAGAAAACGTGCTTACCTGAGTGGCCGTAACGCTTGCCAACATTTTCATGGCAAAAATAGAACACGGTATTATCAACCAGAGCACAACTAAACCGCCGATTTGGAAGAGGTATAATGACGACTTTTCTGTCTATGGAAGGCAACCAAAGACTTTGATTGAGTCACAATAAAATTTACTTGATCCCTCCCTTCCCCCCCCCCCCCCCTCACGGCTCTGTAGCATTCTACTGATCCCCCCATCGTTTGCAGTCAATTAACGATAGTCGCCCCTTTATATTCTGTTAGCGACCACCGATATCCCCTCTGTTCCCCCAGAAATCCACGTGATCCCCCCAAGTCCTCTAACTCCCCTCCCCCTTCGTTTTTGAGAATGTATGAAATTAATCTAATCTAATCTTATTTTATAAACCACTGCGTGAATGATATCGTATTTCTTTCGTGTTTTAATGTCACAAGGTGTCAAACACTGGAAACCAAGCTTGTACTCATTCCTTAATCTGAGCACAAAGTCAATGATAGTTGTTAGTAAACAATGTATCTTTCCAATAGAAACTTAGTAACAGAATATATTTCCGATTCCGTTTTATTTTTTGGAGGATCCTTGTGCAACACTGAGACAGTTTTTGTAGAGATTGGACAGTAGTAGAAAGTTGCCTTTTTTCTACCTTTTTTTTCCTTTATCATAAACGTGTAAATGAACGTTCACTCTTCTATGAATCTCGCATATCCGGTCAAACACAGCCCATAGAATTTCAACTCTCAGTTACTCCTCTAAATAACAGACGAACAATCTAAGGCCTGTTTCAAATCCTTACCACTGGAACCTCTGCTTTCTACATGCGCTAAAGGATATACAACCGGTAACACAGTTAACAATAACTAATCCAGTGCTCATGTTGAGTGTCAACTGTACAGGAGAATCACAGCAGTGGCCATAACAGACATATCGTCGCCATCGCGACGGATATACAACCGGTAACCAGACATATCGTCGCCATCGCGACTTGATTAACTCTCGAGTGCGAGTTATGGTAAGTGCGAGTGTGCTCTGACGTTTTAGACAATACGCGTGGGCTGCACGCAGGAAAGTTAAAGATGTCTTCTGCAACAATGTTTGATCAAAAAAACTGCAAAATTAATCGTAGGGGAACATCGAAGCTTATTAAAACAAATAAATTAAGAGAAAAAGATATGCTTTTAACTGACATCATAACGATAGCAACCGTACACGCACACCCCTCTCTTCCTCAAAACCACTCTAAAATGCAACCAAACTAAATTAAGACTCCAGGAAAAATAATGCTCGAAACTTAGCCTGAAGTTTGTACCTCGCGATGGCGACTTACTTAGTTGTTCTTAGTGGTTTTAACGAGGCGATCGCGATAGATGATTAATACGAATTTTAAAAGAAGCAGTATCTCTAAAAGTGGTGCGTTGCATTACTGTTCGAACAATCAACTTCTTTCAAACTTTGCCTATGAATCTGTCTGAGTCTCAAAGTAATGGAGACCACCTTGGTTTTTGAAAATTTTTCAAAATAAATCTTTTCTGAGCGAAAATCGCTTCAGGCCTCAAAGGCCTATTGTTAACAGGGCCGATCATCAAATACGGTACAAATTGCCACACTCGTCTTTTCACAAAACTCTGGTTTGAGGAATTTTTTTTGGCGTATTTAGCTGGATTAATCCTTTAGGAGAACAAAGTGTATAAGTTTGGCCTTTTTTAACGATTTTTTACACTGAAAATTATTTTTCAGCTTGACACCTACTTTGCCTCTGCCGCCATGACCAATGCCCCCGTTTTTCCATGCACTCACAGACACTTGAGGAATTGGTTGTTGGTTATTGTGCAAATATCATAGTATCCTAACAACAGTCTGATCACACAAGCATTGTGATGCGCTGTATATTTTATTACTTTAATCAAGATTCTCCTGTCAATTACAAAGCCAAGAGCAAACTTAAGAAAAGTCCAATTTTGGAAACCGGTCAGAACAAACTGTCCACAGTCGAACAAAAACTGGATAATGGCATAGAACAAAAGTACATTATTCTATGATGATGTACTACTGCACATTTCAAATAATCCCTTATAGTTGAAAATATTTCGCTTGATTGGCAAGCATTACATCAGCTTTTAATAGTGATGAGGATCTTCACAATTTTATGAGGGTGATTCTATTAATATACTAATACACTCATGCATAGTCATAGTCTCCATACATCAAAAAATGGGCAAGGAAGAGATATCTTCAAAATCACAATGTAGGGAAAATTTAACGAAAGAATTGTCATCACGTGTTATGGTCCAAACTTAGAGAAGATTAATGAATGAACAAAGGCATTTTTATCGTCGTTTTTACATTTGTAACTGTTTATAAAACATTGGATTCCAACTTGAAAGCATTTTGTGCGAGCAATGTGTACTTCTTTGCGAGCTCCTATCGGAAAAACTTCAAATTTCAATTATGGTTTTTGGTCCAAAATTCAATAAATATACATGTGCCAAAGGATGCTTCTTAGGCACTGAATATATCCCTAATGGGAGGTGGTAATTTTTCCAGCAGTTAGGCAGTCATGATGCATAGAAACATAGCTTCAATGACCTCAAATCATCTGAAGTCAAATTTTCCAAGCTTCTTTTAGGGGAAATTTTATTGAAGGTTGATAAGAATGCTACTGCAGATGTAAACCAATGTGGTAAATCACGGATTCAGCTTCCTCACAAATTCAGTCAACTCAGCCAAAATACCACATCCATCAGAATATTTTATTTCAATTACTATATTCACTTATAAAAGACCTTTATAGGTAGTTCTGTTAGTTTTTGAGAGAAACCTTTTAGGATTTGAAAACTGCGTTTTTTCCTTTCAATACTGTCTTCCCACTTAACATAATCCTTTATCAACTCAGTTACTCCCCAGGTAATTAGTGGTTCACAATACAACAAAAGAAAGATGGTATTTTACATGACTTGTTCAGATGCTGGAGATGCAAGAGTTGTGCCAACTCACTGACCATTTCCCTCAAGAGAATAGTTGTGATTAATCATGGAATACTCTGTCAATCTCAATCCCAAGTGACAGCCACATTGCCAACTAAACACTGGTTGACAAAGAAGAGCAGAAGATGCATTTTACATGTGCATCTTCTTGGCAATTATTGATCGATCACTTTAGAACAAACATGAGGAAGTTTTGCCACACTGTTATTGGTACATTGCATAAACAAACAGATAGCACCCTCCATCTGCTCAACATTCTAGATATTCTAACAGTAAATAATTTGTATCAACACAATGCTTTAAAGTTTTTGCATCTATGGCAGAAAGGCCTGCTTAAGTGGATCTACTCCAAAATCATTTTCAATATGCAAGCAGTATTCATGGATACAACACCAGATATGCTGCCAAAAAATTTATGTAAACCTTGAGTGTGCAATAACTCTGGAGAACAAACAATTGCAAAGAAAATAAAAACTGACCTTGACAAAACAATAGAGAATCTCTATAAGGCAACATCGAAGTCATCACTGAAAGTCCCACTCTGAAACCAGAAGTGCCAGTGCCCACCCAAACAGAAATGGAAAAGTTTTAATCAAAAACAAAGCCTGCTTTACTGAGCATTTTACCCCGTATGCCGACCAATACATATTGCCTGGTCACAAAATCCCAATCCAAACTTAGCGGCTATTTAGCCTCCTGGCTCTTTATCTGAACTATTCCTCAGTGTCCTAGGTATTTTGTATTTTAAATTTGTAATGTTCAACAGTATATAAAGTATTACATTTTATGCGTAAAAAATGGTCACTGAGTCACCAGGAACTGAGACCAATAATTTCAAACTTTAAATACAACTATCAGTCAGAAAAAGCAAACAAAAATTTGCTTCATATGCAATTTAGACAGCAATCTATGAAGGTCAGTAAATCAAAGCAAACAAGTGAAAAAAACTTTGTAAAAGTGAGCAAAGAGAACTAGATGCTGTGAGCCATACATTGTCAGTAATGCATATGCCCCTTGAAGATTTAATAGAATGAAGTTAGACACCTATGCCTAGAGAAAAACACTGTCAGGGCTATGTAAATAGATTTTAAATCGATACTTTGAACTATTTTTTATTTGACCAAAGAATTCTTTTTATTGGTCTTGATATCTTGATATTTACATGTTTGCAATGAAGATAAAGTCATACCAAGGGGTTAGACTTGTCTTTGTATAGATATTCCAGACTATATTTTGATTTTTTCTACTGTAATTTTAGCTTTTATCAATTTTTTACTTTCTTATTTGGAATGGGTAATGATATAATTGTAAATGGATGACATACATGAGTAGCACCATGCACAAAAATTTGCCACTCTCATGCTGACAAACACTTGTTAGATCAACACATCTCCCCAGCCCTGCAGGGACAAGGTTCCCCCTATTTTAAGAAACGGCTGCTAGTATGCAATGCCACACAGTTGCGTAATGCTATGAACAGCCTTGAGCCCTCATGTAATAAACATTTTGCTTCCAAATTCAAACATTTTCTTTAAGGAGGCATACTTAATTTGCCTCAACTATTTAGGTCACCTCTAAAATGTGTTATGAAGCCCAGATGTTAGTGGATAATCTCCTTTTTTTGCCATCTTTTCATCCCCTGAATTTCTGTTATTCCCATAAATGCAAAAGTAAACCACAAGGAATATATATATAATATGCATATCCACGCCTATTATTCAAATCTGCAAATAGATGTCATGGTAAATTTCAATTCTCTGTTCAATTGTTACACAGTAGACAACTTCATTACGTTTCTTGAGTGATGATAATTCAGGTTGGTGGAAGATAAGTAATTTTTCTTTGAAGCAGAGGTTGCATCTTTTACTTGCGCTGTTGTAGGGTGATCTTCATGAAAGGATGTGCCATGAAATAAAGTGGTCAATGTTATTTTCTTGAAGGGTCCAGATATGTTTGCTGAGTTCGGTAGAGTTTCTGTGTTTTGTGTGTTAGAACGATGCGGTGTGTTTTCTGTATCTAGTCTTGAAGTCGTTTTCTGTAAGTCTGATGTATGTCTCAGTGGTGGTGTTGTCCTCACGTGCGACAGTGGCTTGGTAGATTGGTGATGACTG